TGGCTGCGTGCCTGTGACTTGTACGAGTGCTTGCACCCCGCCCCGCACACGCGCCAGCGTCCAGGCATCCATCCCCCGTGCACACGTGCACCGCTGCCCACCTGTTCTCCCCGTTGCACGTGCATCCGCCCCCGCCTCTTCGTTACACACGTGTACACCACAGCCGTGCCCTGCGTGTGCACACACGCCCTTGTGCTAGGGAACCTGCCTTCCCCCCACCCCCCCAGTTCAAGACCAGCCCCTGCACACGGCCCAGCGGGCCAGGTGTTGCACCCTGGGGTGGGGGCGTCAGTGCTTGGGAAGACCCCGTGGCCTGGGATGGGCCTGGGCCTGGCCCAGGAGCTGAGCGTCGCAGCAACCCAGGGTGTCTGTCTGTTGCCCTCCAGCTTCCCCTCATGTCTGGGGTGACCCCCAACCCCCCCCCGGCTGCGCTCCCTCCCCACCGGGCCTGACGTTGATGGACGAGGCCCAGGAAGGCCCTGCCTGGCGCTGCCGGGAGCAGGGGGCCGCGCCGGCCTGGCCCCTGCCTCCCGCGCATTCCTGGCAGGGGCCGCGGCTTCCTGGCTTGGGCAGGGCCTGGCCGGGAAGGGACGCAGGACCCCCCGGAGAGGATCCTCAGAGCCAGCCCAGACCCCCAGGCGGGTGCGATACACAGGCTTTATTACAAAAATTAGAGCTCTACAGATAAGGTCCTTGTGTGGCCGCCCAGGGGGACGGGGGTGGGCTTCCCCCCGCCGGCTCCGTCCACGCACCGCGCCTCCTGCGTGCACAGCTCCGGCTCCGGGGACAGGGCTGAGCCATCGCTGCTCGGTGCAGGGGTTGCAGGCTCCGCACTGAGGGGGGCAGGCGGGGCTGCAGGCCAAGCTGGGGGCTCTGCACTCCCCCAGGGTGCCTGCATTCAGCCTCCGGGCCCTGGGCACCAGGGAGGGGACGCAGAGGCCATGGGGTGCCCATCACCGCTGGGTCAGGCCGGGATCCTGGGGTTGCGGAGGGGGTCCTGTTGGAGGGTCCCAGGCAGCCCCTAGACCCGGCAGGCTCAGCCCCGGGTGCTGCTCAGGTACTGCCCCAGCAGCCAGTACGTCCGCACCTTGCCCTTGCCCTGTGGGGAGCACCCAGGTCAGGCAGGAGAGACCCCCCACATGCAGGGCCCCTCCCCCAGGGAGCCTGGAGCAGGGCAGGGGACCCCAGGGCACCCCCT